GAATTCACTAATGTTGATCCTGGACAATCAATATATAAATTCACTAATGTTGATCCTGGACCATCAATATATAAATTAACTAATGTTGATCCTGGACCATCAATATATAAATTTACTAATGTTGATCCTGGACCATCAATATATAAATTAACTAATGTTTATCCTGGACCATCAATATATAAATTTACAAATGTTGATCCTGGACCATCAATATATAAATTAACTAATGTTTATCCTGGACCATCAATATATAAATTCACTAATGTTGATCCTGGACCAACAATATATAAATTCACTAATGTTGATCCTGGACCATCAATATATAAATTTACTAATGTTGATCCTGGACCATCAATTTTATAAATTCACTAATGTTGATCCTGGACCATCAATATATAAATTTACTAATGTTGATCCTGGACCATCAATATATAAATTCACTAATGTTGATCCTGGACCATCAATTTTATAAATTCACTAATGTTGATCCTGGACCATCAATATATAAATTCACTAATGTTGATCCTGGACCATCAATTTTATAAATTCACTAATGTTGATCCTGGACCATCAATATATAAATTTACCAATGTTGATCCTGGACCAACAATATATAAATTTACCAATGTTGATCCTGGACCAACAATATATAAATTCACTAATGTTGATCCTGGACCATCAATATATAAATTCACTAATGTTGATCCTGGACCATCAATTTTATAAATTCACTAATGTTGATCCTGGACCATCAATATATAAATTTACTAATGTTGATCCTGGACCATCAATATATAAATTCACTAATGTTGATCCTGGACCATCAATTTTATAAATTCACTAATGTTGATCCTGGACCATCAATATATAAATTCACTAATGTTGATCCTGGACCATCAATATATAAATTTACTAATGTTGATCCTGGACCATCAATATATAAATTTACTAATGTTGATCCTGGACTATCAATATATAAATTAACTAATGTTGATCCTGGACCATCAATTTTATAAATTTACTAATGTTGATCCTGGACCATTAATATATAAATTAACTAATGTTGATCCTGGACCATCAATTTTATAAATTCACTAATGTTGATTCTGGACCATCAATATATAAATTAACTAATGTTGATCCTGGACCATTAATATATAAATTCACTAATGTTGATCCTGGACCAACAATATATAAATTAACTAATGTTGATCCTGGACCATCAATATATAAATTCACTAATGTTGATCCTGGACCATCAATATATAAATTCACTAATGTTGATCCTGGACCATCAATATATAAATTAACTAATGTTGATCCTGGACCAACAATATATAAATTCACTAATGTTGATCCTGGACCATCAATATATAAATTCACTAATGTTGATCCTGGACCATCAATATATAAATTCACTAATGTTGATCCTGGACCATCAATATATAAATTCACTAATGTTGATCCTGGACCAACAATATGTAAATTTACTAATGTTGATCCTGGACCATCAATATATAAATTAACTAATGTTGATCCTGGACCAACAATATATAAATTCACTAATGTTGATTCTGGACCATCAATATGTAAATTCACTAATGTTGATCCTGGACCATCAATATATAAATTCAATAATGTTGATCCTGGACCAACAATATATAAATTAACTAATGTTGATCCTGGACCATCAATATATAAATTCACTAATGTTGATCCTGGACCATCAATATATAAATTCACTAATGTTGATCCTGGACCATCAATATATAAATTCACTAATGTTGATCCTGGACCATCAATATATAAATTCACTAATGTTGATCCTGGACCATCAATATATAAATTCACTAATGTTGATCCTGGACCAACAATATATAAATTCACTAATGTTGATCCTGGACCATCAATATATAAATTCACTAATGTTGATCCTGGACCATCAATATATAAATTCACTAATGTTGATCCTGGACTATCAATACCTTGTACCTTGTAATGGAGTAACTTTTAAAGTAAGGTATCTGTACTTTTACTCAAGTATGGTTTTCAGATACTCTTTACACCTCTGACAACACAATGAATTTCATGTGATAAACTGATTTCCACTTTCAGTATATTTTGTCCTGTGCATTGATTTAAGTTGGATATATTTCTGACCGTCACAATTTAAAAGATACAACACTACAATGACGCACACTGCCAACCGCTCTGCTGAAAACAGTTCATGACTTATCATGTGTGCAATTTCAATTTTCTGAGAATAAATAGATAATAAGATAAATGAAAACACTTCACCCATCGTTCCTGCGGAATCACAATCACTTCATCTTTACTCTCTTTCTTTTGCTCTTCTGAGACATGCTTTTCTTGATCATAAAAGAAAGGAAGAAGAAATCTGACAGGTTAGCCGTTCTTTTGATTTGGCCTTTGTGACCTTCACACACACACACACACACACACACACAAACACTACCTTGCAGAAGAAGACCCGGAGAAAGCCCAGAGACTAAAAAGAAAGCAAATGTCATCAAACACACTGTCTCCCTCTCTAAAAATACACTTGTTCACACATGAATGCACCCACACACACAACCTCCGAAAACAAGATCACTTTAATGACCATACTTCTCATAAGCATCATGTGCAAAGGTCCGATCAGCATAAGTCTTCTAATTGGATTAGAGCAAATTACCATTTGTAATGTCAGCTCAGTTTTAGTTATGATGATAATCTTCTGATACTGCCGGAGTAGAAACATTAATTATAACCCAAGACAATGAACATGAAGAGAGAGAAAAAAAACACTATCTACTATGTGCATAGTATTATCAGATGCACATTAATAGCACAGCCTTTTAGTAGACATCATCTAAAGCAGTGTTTCTCAACCACATTCCTGAAGGACCACCAGCTCTGCACATTTTCCATTTCTGCTTAACCAAACATGCCTGACTCAGATCATCACCTCATTAACAGACACTGAAATACATGTAATGTGTGCAATAGACAAAGGAGACATCCAAAACAAGCAGTTTTGGTGTTCCTCCAGAAACGTGGTTAAGAAACACTGATCAAATGTCACTGAAGCAAATGTTCACCAAAATTGTATCACCCGAAGCCCATCTATGATGATGTTGGTTACTTTAAATCAATAGTATCAGTCAAAAAATAAAATGCAGGCAAAATAAAACTAATATGGCTTCTACATCTTACAAAGCTCATGTCCAATAAAGATATGTTAAATTATCAAAAGTGGCATTATTCTATTGTTAGTTTGTGTGAAAAAAAGGACTCTGTGCACCTTCGAGTACAGTTTAATGTTGAAATATGTAAGACTGGCCCTTGAGGTACATTCAGACAAAGGTGAATTGATTCTACAAATAAATGGCAAACCAGGAGATCAAAAGGCTTGAAAATAAAACAGAAAGACATTGATTGAACTCAGCTTCAACTGTTGAATAGTGATGCTGGATTTTCTCATGTGTTTTTCTTGTTCAGCCTCCAGACATATCACAGATGAGGATCAGAATAGAGATTTTAAGACGGCATAGACCAGTCCAATTAGAGCGCTGGAACACACTGGGACACGCCCTCCAGAGCTCAGCCTATCACCATACTGATCCAACAGCTGCAGAGCAACCCCATTGGTCCATCCAAATCCCAACTATGACCAAAAAAAAATACTCGAGTCAGGTTTGGGTTATCATTCTTGTCCCTTTGCAAACTGTGCGGGACAAGATATCATCCGAAGTATTGAGGGTTCAGAAGTAGCCTGCAACACTAATGTCAGCCTGATAGAAAGATCTTTTGAAGTGTTCTCTATGAACTTGCAATTTGATGATCTGAGCTTCTATTAATTTGCCGTTTCTTCTCTAGACACTCTATTGGTCCTTGGGGTCTGGCAGAAAATGAGATTCTACATTTCAAGAATGGTTCTGCTGGGCTGAAGAACTCTAATTTACCCCTAATTCCTCCAGAGATTAAAATGTCTCGGAAGCTCTGTGCCCAGGCTCGGAAAAGCAGATTTATGAATTTGAATATGTAAATATGAACAGACCATTAATACCTGAACTTCATACTCGCCACCTCCTCCGGGCTTTCCATCACCGCTGACATCGTACTGTAACAAGGACATGGCAGGAAGAGGATCGCAACGAAAGAGAGAAATAGAAAAAGTTATAAAAACCAAATCATAACTCAGCTAAAAAGACCGCTCAAAAACATTTTCATTAACTGAAATAAAAATAAAATCACAATAAATGGAAAAATAAAATGAAACTAACTAGAGTCACTGGGAAAATTATACATTTGGACCTTTTTTAATGCAATAAAATCAATAACATGCAATTTGCTGATTTTCTTAAACACTGATCAAAAGTACAAAGAAAAGATTTCTAGTGTTTTCAAGGAGGAAATTAATTGTATTGTGGAAATAGAAACAAATTTACACTACTTGACAAAAGTCCTGCCGCCTACACTTATTTACACAAAATAATATATGATCATGCCTTGATTTAGACGGTAAGGTCTGACTTTGCTTAGACGAAAGTCTTGTCACTTAACAGAAATAATGTACAGTATAGAATATAAAGTCATGCTGCAGTGGAAAAAAAGAATGAACATTGTTTATGACACCAATCAGCTTGGAGGACAGCATCCATACATCTCAGCAATGACTTAAACAGCTTATTAAAAAAAGTCATCTGGAATGGCAAAGAAAGCGTTCTTCCAGGACTCCCAGAGTTCATCAAGATTCTTTGGATTCAACTTTAATGCCTCCTCCATCTTACCCCAGGCATGCTCAATAATGTTCATGTCTGGTGACTGGGCTGGCCAATCCTGGAGCACCTTGACCTTTTTTGCTTTTAGGAGCTTTGATGTGGAGGCTGAAGTATGAGGAGCGCTATCCTGATGAAGAATTTGCCCTCTTCTGTGGTTTGTAATGTAATGAGCAGCACAAATGTCTTGATACCTCAGGCTGTTTATGTTGCCATCCACTCTCCAGAGCTCTCGCACACCCCCATACTGAATGTAACCCCATACTTGACTGATTTCTGTGAGAATCGTGGGTCCATGCAGGTTCTTGTAGGTCCTCTGCAGTATTTGTGTTGATTTGGATGCAGTTCATCAGATGATTGAAAAATTGACCTTCTGCCACTTTTCCAAATGATCAACTAGAAGTCAAGCTTTTATTTGTTGCTCTTACAACAAGAATTGATGACATGACTTTTGTCAGGTAGTGTAGATTTAGTGCAAACACAAAAATTAGCTCTGGTCAACACTGAATGTGTTCTGCTTAGTTAGAATTACTAAAAGAAACTAAATATATGAGAACTAAACAGAAATTGTGATCACAAAACTAAAACTAATACAACCATTTTTAAAACAAACAAAAATTAAACTAAAAAAATAGAGCAAATTTAAAACTAACAACGAAACGAAAACAAATTTATAAAATAAGTAAATTGTAAATTAGTTTTTTATTTATAGATGACAGTTTTGCTGTTGTGGTTGGGCACTAAATAGGTATTCATTAATTGTGACCCTAAACAGAGCATGGATTTTCTCTAGCAAATGCCAATTTACTGTTCATCAGCTTTACGCTCACTACCGACTTTCATTATGGGATTCAATGAGTACATTGGATATTGACCACATTGATTCCAGATGAAGCTATAGATGGATTTTCCCCTCAAACACTACATAAAAGCTAATGTTTGACCGCCCAGAGATTCAGAAAAATATTGAATTTCTCACCTTCTCAAACATGGCTTCATATTTGATGAATGCCCGCCAGTTGGTCTGAATCCACCGCTGGGCCAAGCTGAAGGCGAGCTCTTGAGCGTGGGCTGAATGGAGCCCGGAGAGACCTGCAAACACATGATGGATGGGCGAGAAGTGGGAGGGTCATTTAAATGGCAAATTCACCAACTACTGAGAATCATTAATCACGTCCTAATAGTCACTTCCCAAACTCGCGGACAAGATTTGACAGCAGTTAAATTGAATTTTGAAGCGAATGATGTGATTTTGTGAACAGACTGAAAAATCTTCTGATGCACCGCTTTAAGGTATAGCTGAAGTGGCTGATGTGCAAAGTGCTGATGTATTACTGCCAACCTGCGCCTTTGGATAAACAGTAAACATGCTGTTAGAAATTGGAAGAAAACCAAACTGTTATTGTCTGCAGGATCACACCGTTCCCTTTTCTCAAGGATGTTCTCTCCCAATAATTTGGCTTCCAGGATTTTTAGAGAGAAAAATAAAATTGCCACTTCATAGAAGCTTGCCAACTTCGGCAGATGCCAACAAATTTGCACAACATGCCCTCATCCTCAAAAAGAAAATATGCAGAGAAGTAAAAGAATATTTGAAACTGTCATTTTAATGTTGTACTACCAATTTATATGCAGAGTAAAATGTAATAAGCAATGGTCTGGCCAGCAGCAGATAAACTCATTCTTGTTCAGATGACCAGATGACCATGTGTTCTTACAATTAGCCTGGATGTGTCGAAATGTTTAGCCCAACAGATGTAGCTCTTTATTTAAGGTTTTGGTTCTATTTATAGGGCACAGTCCACCCACTCTTATTACATAAGGCCACACATCACACTGCTGCTGGCTTTGCATGAGAGTAAAAGTGTGAATCACAGTGATGCTGGGTTAAGATGATTAGTTAGACAAATAAACTAAAAGGTAAGGACAATCTTCCTAGTGGAAAAAGAAAATAGTGACTGATTTTGTGGACAACCCTTGTACAAAGTATGTACAACGTTATCCACATGCATAGAGTATGCTCAAGAAAAGTCATATACATGAGCAACATCAAACAAGTACCTGTTCGACATCGATATGGCTGTATTTAGGCACTGGTGGGAGGCGTGCATTGGCTTAAGGCCGCAGGCCAAGTTCTTTAGGGTGCTTTCACACTTGGTTCAATTGCCTGGACTGTACCCAAGTTTGATTGTCTCCCCTTGCCACCTCCTCGGTTGGTTTGTGTTCACACTATCCTTTGTCCTTTTGAAACCCGGTACGCTTGCGTCATCGAGCTGCTGTTTTGTTTATGGCCGTTGCTAGTTGACGGTCACAAAACCAAGCGGCGAAATGGAAAGACGTGCGCATATTGCGGTTATTCTGATTTAACTGAATCTTTTGGTTTTGGACATACAGAAAGCAACTCGCGTCCATCTGCCGCAAAAATATTATAAACATTCAGAACATCACACCGAGTCTGCTAAAGCTGCTTTTGGAGGAGACAAGCAGACATCACTGTGTATCATTGTGTTTGCCCTGGCTTAGTCACGCGCATGTCACCAAGGTACAAAATGTGACGCAGACACACACACACACACACACACACACACACACACACACACACACACACACATACACACACACACACACACACACATACATTCGATAGTTTGTTTCACTTCTGTTCAGTTCAGTTTTTCACGTTCAGTTCACGGATGCGCACCCAAGTTCAAAAGACACGTTCACACTAGCTAAACGTACCCTACTATGACGTCAAACGAACCCGGGGGTGGACCAAAAGTGCCAGGGTGAAAGCACCCTTAGTGATCCACCAGTGACAATATACAGCCATATTGCACTGCTAAGAGTGTGACATTGTGTTTATACAACAGTTCAACGGTTTATCGGTGTATAAAAAAAAAGAAAATCAAACAACAAAGTCTCAAAAATCCTTTTGTAAGAGGAACTACTTTCTTATACTCTTGCCCAAAAAAGGCTCGACAGTACATTAAGTTGTCTAACAGCTGCAATATTTGTCTATGGTGAGTCTACTGATCTGCTGTCACTATGTGGGCGGAGTAATACACAAGCGTAAAGAGGCTGTACGAATGCTGTTATTGCAGAATAATGTACAACTATTAGCCAGTCGGACTCAAGAACCATGCAGAACCTGTTTTATAAACTCATATATAGAGAGAGGGAGCTATAAGAGGTGTGCAATTTTTACTGTCTTTGATATCAAATGTTGTTAAATGATATGCAGGCTGATATTTGTGTCACTCATTTTGCAAAAAATAAAAGCCAAATGCCTTAGTTCAAAAGCATTGACTGCATGATGAAACCTTATAAAATTAAATTAGAATTTTAAAAGCCAAAAAATAATGATGTGTCTGCTTTGGTTTAATAATATTTTTAAGATTAAGTCTTGTTAATTTGATGTGTTAAGTAGCATCAAACAAGCGAGAGCACGGTTTCTCTGAATATCTATCTGATATTCACAAATCTAACATTGATTTCCAGAACAAACAAGAAGTTACCTTTATGCGAGTAACATTTTGGACAGAAAATTGTCATTTTTCTTAGTTTAGTCAAAGAAAGTGGTTCCAAACAAAACCAGAACAAGACATCTGAATTTGAACAAATCATACAAGTCAGTGATTCATCCATAAAGTGACATGGCCCAGTTTCTAAATGAATCAGTAGTTCTGAGTAAATCATTTAAATGCATGGCTCACTGAATCACTCGTTTTAACAAAGACTTGTTTCCACAGTATTTTTAACAACAAATGTTTCCCAGACAGGCCTAAACCAGCCAAGTTAATAGAATTGAAACACACTTAAATAAAATGTAGCTAATTATCATTAAATATCCCAGCTCTTTACACATGAGTTGATTAGATATACACATACGACAGATAGAGGTCAAATGCGCAGGACATTGGTGAGCAAATCAAGGCAAAGGCAGGAGCAGCTCGACTAGTGTATTCATTATTGAGCTCCATTGTGTTATAGTTTAGGATAGTTTATGCTTTTACTGTATTAAGTTGATTTAAAAACATTAAAAAATTATACTGCATCATCATTTAATATGTTAAATAATAAGCAAACAAATTAGCTAATTTAATGTAATATGGTTTGGTATATTTAACTCCAGCTCACAACTCTCAATCAAGTTTGGTTTTTGGCCCTTTAAAAGAAAAAGTTTGGGCACCCCTGTTTTAGAGCATGAACCCCCTTTTTAAGGTCATGCCACAGCATCTCAATTGGATTCAGGTCAGGACTTACAGCGGGCCACTCTAAAGTCTTCACTTTGTTTTTCTTAAGCCATTCAGAAAGTGGACTTGAAGTTTGCTTCAGCTTGAGGTCAGTAACTGGCAGCCGGCTATTCTCCTTCAGGATATTTTATATACAGCATAATTCATGGTTCACAGCAAGTCTTTCAGGCCCTGAAGCAGCCCCAGACCATCACACTACCACCACCACCACATTTTACTATTAGTATGGTGTTCTTTTTCTGAATTTCGATGTTACCTTTTCACCACAGATAATGGGGGACACACAAAAAGGACGAATATATAACTATTATGTATATACATTTGCTATATTGTATGGTGTGGAGTGAAATATGCTCAAAACTATATACCAAATAACCCCAGTTTGATTTTTTTTACATCATTAAAATGTAAACTATATTAATCCTCCTACTCTAATGTGCTTAAAACCTAGACTACAGCATGAAAATATAAATATTAATTCTATGTTTTTCTGTAAAGCAGTTTTACTGAAGAAAAAAAAATGTGCATCATGAAAATGATAGACTTGACTCAATTTGTTCATATTTATGCCAAATTACCTTCAATGATGATGTGCTGGAGTGGAGGCCAGGCGTTGGGCATATCCCACTGCTGACCACTGTCACTGAGAGAGGTGGGAATGCCATTAGGATAATCCAGACCTCCGCTATCCTATACACACAGAATAAATGACCAGCATGAGAAGGTTGTGAAAAGCTGTGCAAAGACTGCCATCTGCTGCTAAACATGAAGTGTGCATCTGTACCAAGTAGGGAATTGCAGCCTTCCTCTATTTGATTTCTCACCTTCTCTGTGAAAGCTAAAAATATTCTTCTCTTGAAGATTTAGAAACCATTTGCTATTCAACGGGGAAGAAACGGTGAAGAACAGTGGTGTTTCTCAAGTGGGAATACATTAGATATGAAGGCATTGCAATATTAATTTACCGAGAGTGTGCATGGGAGGTGATAATTAAAGCAGCATTAGGTCAGATGCCGACACATCTGGAGATTGTCTGCAGGAAAAAGGCATTGCTTTAAATACAAACACACTATCCACCTCATGTTGGAATTCACAATCAAGTTATTTGTGTGAAGACTTCAAGTTCATTAGCCACTATATGTAAATATCTAGATTATTATTATGTGCAGGAAACTAAACTATTTGTGCTACAAACCAGTGTGCTGCTTCAGGGTTATGATGAAACTCAAATAATCTAAAGAAAAAGTTGAGGATCAAAAATATAAAACAAACATATGTAATAACTATTTTTCACAATTAAGAAAAAGATTACAGGTCACACTTTATTTTGATGGTTAAATTTCAGTGACATTACATCTTCATGCCATTCAACTAACTCTCATTAGATTGTAGGACTGTTAGGTTGGGGTTAGGGTGAGTGTAAGTTGACATGTACTTGCAAAGTTTCTTACGCTCATTTAATTGTCTGTTAAAGAAGCAGTATCAACATATTGTGGCAATTAAATTAAAAATCCATACACCTGGAGGAAAATGATGAAAGGTTAAATAAGGGCAGAACGGATACAAACAGTATGGAAAAAGAGCGGAAAGCAGAAGTGAGGAAAACAGTACTTGGAAGAGCACTGCTAACAGAGAGTGGTCGAATGGTTTGGAGAGAAAAACAATTAATAAAAAAACCCTAAAAGCCTCAAAATTAATAAATGCATTAACAGGTTGTCCGCGGGGTCATAAAAATTATTAAAAGTTGATCAATTTAAACAAATTTATCAAAGGAGAAAATTACATTTGTACTTATTTAATTTAAAGGCTCTCTTAGGTAACCTACCATCCTATCTTTCTAATTTACTATCATTTCACATAAATAACCAACACACTAGATTTGGTTCCTGTATTCGTCAACAGTCTTAAGGGTATTGTCAGAACTTGGCAGACGTGCTTTTTCCTTTTAGGTCTTGCAATGACCTGCAAAATTAGCTTAATCTCGACACACTTCCGACTCTGAGTACTTTTAAACATCTTAACGGACATTTGTAATTGTTTTTTATGACCTGACCTTTGTTTATGAATGGTGATTTTGTAATTTTGTGGTATTGTTCTCTGTGATTTTTGTGTGAAACTTTATGTGCTGCCTGCCGTCTTGACCAGGTCTCACTGGAAGAAGAGACAGTCTCGATGTGATCTGCTGGCTAAATAAAGGGAATAATAATAATAATAATAATAAAAATAATAAAATTTAAGGCCCTTAAAAAGTCTTAAACGCTATTTTACATTTTGATTTATTTTTGATTATACAATGTCTAGTTGTACAGTATGCTCAAGTTTGTTTGAATTTAATCTGTGAATTTTGGGATGCTGTGTGGTTTATGAAATCAATTAAATTCTGCTATTTTTAAGATTAGGTTGCTTTGTTTACTGCAGTAACATCACCTGCTGGATTAGCATTTTAATTCATGATATGAATAATGTTTTAGTTTAGGATTCATTTCTTACAGTCAAGTTAAAATGTGGCCAATGTTACCGCTGAAACCTAAAGTGGTAATGAGGTCTAAAAATGTATGGGAAAAGGTATTGAATTTCACTCTCTGATTTGAGCATATACCCTGATTAAAATCAAAAAGTTTTCTCACCTAAAATAACCCTTTGGTGTGTTCATGATTAAAATATGATAAGTAGCTCTTTGCACCTTTCAATACAAATAGCCAGAGGAGCTCTAACTGGATGGATGAAGTGTCTGAAATTTGCTCACCCTCAGGTACTGGACAGCCTGATCGCTCATCTCCGACTTAGAGTAACACTGTGCCCACAGAGGTGCCAGGTTAGACGGGTAGAAGGACAGGTGACGGGTCTTGTTTACCAGGTTGTAATCAAACCAGGCCCCTTTCTCTGCATCCCACAGCAGACTCTCCACAGCTTTAATTCTAGCAGAGAGAGCCTTCTCGTATTTCAGGGCCTTCTCTTCATTACCTACAGGAAAATATTGTACAGTGCTCATAATACACACAAAAAACCCACATAGTCCACCATTTTACATAACCATTGAAATGTTTAGGACCAATTCATTTACTGTCCTAAATTGGTCCTAAATGAATGCTTTGACAAAGCAGCGGTTGCCGGCGGACGAGCATTTAGGGTCCTTTATTACACTTATACTGTTTAGGTCTTTAAAAACAACCAAATTTAAGTCTTACACTTACACTAAAATGGATCTATGACTAAATGTAATAACTGGAAAAATATAATGCATGTTAGCTTGAACTTAATTTGATATTAAACAATATTTATACCATGCATCAAATGAAGAATCAAGTGAATGCTTACTTTTCACTGATCTGTATTTTGATATGATTATAAGTGTGTGTACTGTAAACGCACACAAGTGTGTTTGTCTCTTTTACCCAGACTCCTGTGAAAGGAGGCCAGCAGACGCTCGTTGCGGCACATGATGGCATTGAGGTCAGCAGGCAGGATGGAGCTCGTCTGTGTGTCTCTGAGGCTGCCGTTGTTTCTGCCCGTGTCGTCAATAAACCAGCGAGAGGAGAAATCCCATCCGGACTCCGCACCAGACGTCAAGTCCATCCAGAGCTGCTTCTGAGCCTCTGAAACACACAAATATCCTTTTATATGTGCCCTTTTAAATTAAATATTCATCTTATTGTAATACATATAATTATTCAATATGAAGCATTGAAAAACAACTGTATTCCTACCTGTTGACAGACCCTCAGCCAGCTCTACATCGTCACTGTAGGACTCAGGCCTAAAAATAGTTTTACACTAAAATGCATTACGATGATCAGCATATACTTTGAAATATACTTAAGTGTATTTAAAATATTCAATATAAGTGTTTACATTCTAATAATATTACACACAGTTACTGTTGGTTGAATATACTTAGCTTCTGTAAGAAAACAAGCAGATAAACGGAACAAATACTGTTCACTTTATGCTGATTGAGTGACACATTTTTTTAAAGGTCAGACATCTTATGCTACCTTATATTAATGCAGACTTTTAAAACAGATTGTAAATAGGACTTTGACAAATTATATTATTTTTATGGGGAATAATATAATAATAATTTAAGACAACGCACTAATAAAGCCTATAGAATAACATCAAGCAGCAGATTCAAGATAGTTGTTGTGAGACAAATGATCCCAGTATTGTCCTTTGAGGGGTTTTTTTCTGACACGTGACAAGTTCATCCTACAAAATGCTGCTTTTCGGGTTTATTTATCAAACAGTCTGTACAGTTGCATTTTCTACTCACAGTTACACTTTGTCACGAACCACATAGGATGGTTTTCAATGTTGCTTTTTAACGCTCAGTCACTGCCACGAACAATAAATTCTACCTAAGACTGGAATACACAAAACTTAAAGGGACGTAGGTTCTACTCGCCTTAATTACACACCTGTGTGCCTTTCTTCCCGCTTTCCCATATCTTTACGCCATTCAGAACTCCACCCAGTGGTCAAACGAAGAGTTACAATACAAAAGAATACAAAACGGCTCTTGCAATACTGGAAAAGTGCATTTATTGTTATTTATTTATCAATTAACAGTATTAAGCAAGATGAAAAAATGAGCAACAAATCTGACTTTTTTGACCTGAACAGCCAAACAGTCAATCAATTAAAGTTAATTATGTTATATTTTAGACACAATATTGTCTACAATAGTATTATTGTTAATTTTACCAATGAAAATATTAAGCACCAGCAGGACTGTTGTATTTCTGAATGAATCTAAATTCTGAGTTTGTTTCAAAATGATCATATACATATATAAAGACTGCCATATTTAATGTAAACCTAAAATATTTGATGTATTTGGTTTTGTAGCCAAATTCAATGTAATTAATCAGATAAATGATAAATAAAAGCATTTCCAGGCTGGTTTCAAGCCATTTACCACCTAGTCTTAGCTGTTCAGGCTGGAAAATGACCAGCTAAAGCAGCTTGACCAGCCTGGTTTAAGCTGGACATAGCAGGTTTTGGCTGGGCTCCCAGCCTGGCTAGCCAGTCAAGCTGGTTTTTGCTGATCATCTCCCAGCCTGAACAGCTAAGACCAGGGTAGAAATGAATGAATGAATAATAGGGCTGGACGGTGGCGCAGTGGGCAGCATGTTCGCTTCACAGCAAGAAGGTCACTGGTTCGAGCCTCGGCTGGGTCAGTTAGTGTTTCTGTGAGGAGTTTGCATGTTCTCCTTGTGTTCGGTCTCCTCCAGATGCTCCTGTTTCCCCCACAGTCTAAAGACATACAGTATATGTGAATTGGGTAAGCTAAATTGTTCGTAGTGTTCGTTTGAATAAGTGTGTATGCGTGTTTCCCAGTGATGGGTTGCAGCTGGAAGAGCATCCGCTGCGCAAAACATATGCTGGATAAGTTGCCGATTCATTCCGCTGTGGCGACCCCTGATTAATAAAGAAACTAAGCCGAAAATAAATAATAATAATAATAATAAAGTAGTCAAATTAAGTCAAATTAATTGGGCAAAAGTGTTAATTGAAGCTCTTGAACTTGAAGTCAAGCTTTTTGAATAAAATGTAAAAGGTTTTTTAATATATTTTAAGGGCCTTAATTTTCTCAATTGATTAATTTACAAGGTTACAAACTGACATTATTTCAATATGCTATTAATAGTTTCTCATTATTAATGTTTTCTTTCAGTGTGACTGAGTGTCAACGAGTGCTTTTACCTGGGATGGTCCACCGGCACATTATATCGATTCAGGATGTGAGTCAGTTCACTCGTCATCACATCAACCGACCGATTCTGCATCCAAAAGCTGTACTCTCTTTCCAGTGCTGGCAAAACCTGCCTGAACCACCGAGCACATGCAGAGCAGAGGTGTTATTCAGCGCAGCAACTCAATATTCAACAGACCTGCAGGAGGCCAATTTAGCTGAAAAGGTTACCTGAGGAAGTCTTTGTCTCCGGTGGCCTCGTAGAAGCGTTCCACCATTAGAGGAAGAAATGGAGGCTGACTGCGCCGCTCATAATAAACACGACCACCATTTGGGACAATGCCATATCTGAATGGAGGCGGAGAGGACAGATAATGATGATGATAAAGAATTTAATATCATAAACTGATGCAATAATTTGTCAAGAAAATGACTTTTGGGAAATGAAAATATGATTGTGAGGTGATTTTCATTCAGTTGTTTTTTTGCTATTTAATGGATTATATTTGAAACTTTTGTACAGTTAAAGTCACAAATGATGTTTTACAGAGCAATCATTTTTCACAGTGTTTCCTACAATATTTTTTTTCTTCTGGAGAGTCTTATTTGTTTCATTTTGACTAGAAAATATGTTTTTCTTAATTTAAAAAAAAAACTATTTTAAGGTCAAAATTATAGATATATACATTGGATTTTGCTTGTCTATTAGAAGGAATATGTCAATAGAGCTGCCATTTTAGTACAGGGGAGTGCTCCTTTGAAATGAATGTGGGACCAAGGTGCAGTGGAGGACTGGCCATACAGAGCCAGAGATATACACATATATGCAGGGCTTAATTCGTGCTGGAACATCTGATCTGGCTCCTCATTTTAGCGAACCCCCTCCTCCAATTGGCATATTTACTTTCTTTTTACTTTACGTTTACTCTTAACTCCTTTCGCGGAGTGAGGAAACGATGGAAACTCACTCCGCTGAAGACAACCATCAAACTAAATATTTATTTTTGGTTGTTAAGCACAAAGATTTGTTTCAAAACTATTTCTACATTCAGTTCTAATTTCGAGCAAATAAATAAATGAACAATAATAATGAAGTGTGCTCAAAAAACTGAGTTATATCCAAACACACGTCCTCATGTAGTGCCCCATATGGTCATGCATGTCTCCAAAACCCGACAGGTGGACAAATCTAAACTTGCTTTTATTAAAACAAATATAAATATGCATATAATAAATGATACTGCTATTTATAATAGCATTTTACAAATGCGGATTGTTATGAGTAATCTGAAAAAAGCACCAGCTGCACACCCATGAGTCCACAAACTGGCACAAATTAATGTGCTATTTAATTCATGTGGAGCAAAACATGAATATTGCAGTTGCACTGGTCTGAAAAAAGCAACAAATAGCACCATACACTTATTGCGCAGGGTGTATGATGGGGCTCTCTATGTCTGCAAGCATTTTAAAATAGGAGACAATGAAAGCACCTTTCTACCAAGTACACAAAGTTGAGAATCATTCCTCTGGCTGTCTCAGTCATCTCAGATAAAAGGAGACCATTAATTACCCAATAGGAGTCCCTGAGAGAGGAAGAAGAAAAAGAGGAATTAACTGAAGCACAGAGCTCAGGATTAAGATGTTACAGTAGTTGTCAGGCTGCTGCTGTGTTGTTGTTGTTTTAAGTCACCATGACAGTGTTTATTTGTACAATGTGCACCAGAGTGAAGGTGCTGTCACACTTTTCAGTCCACTGACTTCCATGATCTCTGCAGTACCAAGTGACAACCACCCTGTCAATAAACATTATACAAAGGTCTTCACTTTTTCTTGTTCAAGCAGTTAATCTGAGATCTTTGGCAAATCAAATGTCTTGAGACATTAGTGTGCTTCTTTAAACAGGCGATTTCAGAATTGCCACCTTGTGGACAAATTGGTAAGTGCGAATGTGTTCTTGAGACAATCTTCACATAAATCACATAGATGACAAAGACAATATTTACAATAATATACCATAGCGGATAAAATCATATCTGATATACATGTTGTGAATTTCTGTAGTCTGGCTCACAGCACCAAAACTGTTGTGACATTCTAAGATGAGCAAAAAACCTGGGAGAACTTCGGGTATCTTCAAAGCAGAAAACTTTAATAAGAAGAACTCTGCGTCGCTGTGGTGTCATCGAAAGTAAACTCAGTTTAAATGCATTTTTACAGACATTAGCCCCTTTCACACAGTGATACCGATAAATATATGTAAAATTTCCGGAACGACTTTACTGGTAAGTTCAAAAAAGCGCTGTTCACACAGGCGAGGACGTTACGGAATTTTTCCGGAAAAGAGCATTCACACATCCATTCCAAAATACCGGTAAATTCTGAAATCATTGACCAGAAGTTACCTCTAAACGGCTGCGCTTGTATTTGTAAACATTTGACTACATCTCAAACTCTGTGGATGGATCAGTATTGTGAACAACTTCGATGAAAACATACAGAGAAACACTTTCGCATGTCGAGATGTACATGATATGTGTGTGTGCTGACACTCATAGACTGTTTATGGGCACAACGACTTATCACAAGCATCTTATCGATAATTAATTATACAGTTGGCATTAAGATGAACATATAAATGTTATCTGACTAATTTCTAGCAGCTAAATGTGTCTGGAAAAATATTCAAAGGCTTTTATTCTCATAAACCGCGCGAACGTGAATGTGTCTGACTGTTCTGATTGGCTAAAGCAGACTTCTCACGTCAGCACGTTCTAGACGTGCACGCGCTTATTCCAGCAATCTTCCTTTTGCGTTCACACAGTGCAGCATTCCGGCAAATTACCGGTAATGTTACAACTTCTCTTTCCGTAAAATAGCCAGAACGAATTTACCGGTATTTTCAAAAAATGCCTGTTCACACATACACACCTTCCGGTAATTTTCCGGAGAGTTGTGTATGTGTGAAAGGGGCTAATGATACATGTAGGTGGGGACAGTCTAAAACAAAGCATGCAAATGAAGTGTTGTTGTCGGCAGGGTAAATTGCCTTTCCAGGCATATAAGCATGAAAACATTTTAGCATGAAAACAGTGCGCGCAAATGGGGTTCTGGAGACAGAACTCGTCCGACCAGTTGACCGGCTTGAGAAGACAATAGACACAGCTGTGCTGTGAAACTGACAATTTTCCATTACTTTGGAGACAGTCAGGGCTCAGGAAACCAAGACATTTTAAGGTCTGTCACAACCTAAAAACAACTTTTCAGTTATATATAGGTTACATAAATTTATATTCCCACAATATGTACATTATCCTTATGTAAATGCTGACACTGAAATTGTCTGTATCCACTAGATAGGGCACACAAAAGTGCAAATAACAGAGCTGTTGTGGACGACATGGTGGCTCAGTGGTTAGCACTGTTGCCTCACAGCAAGAAGGTCGCTGACTCTACTCCAGGCTTGCCATCTCCAGGTTGGAGGAAAGTCCTTACCTCAGCTGGAGGAGTTCATGTATCTTGGGGTTTGTTCATGAGTGAGGGAAGGATGGAACGAGAGATTGACAGGCGGATTGGTGCAGCGCCAGCTGTAGCACGGTCAATGTGTCTGTTGTGGTGAAGAAAAAGCTAAGCTAAAAAGGGAATGCTCTTGATTCACGGGTAAATCTATGTTCCTACTCTCACCTAGTGTGGTTTATTCATAAACTAATTTCGAGAGGATAACGTGCTTATAATCAACACGGCTGGCTCCTTATTAGCTCCGTAATCAGCCCTATTAGATGATTAGTAGTAGTAGTAGTAGGCCTCCGTCAGTCAGTGTTGACCATGGATGACGTATCCTAGCTCTTATCTTGAGGCATGACTGATTGTTTAAGACAGCGTCGTTGGTGGCTGAAGAGACCAATGCGGGAGAGGCATTTTTTACCGCAGCAGTCGCATTGATAGGTGCCTCCCTGGCTGACGCTCTGCACCTTTCGGTGAACTCGCTTGTCCTCTGACGCACGCATCATGTTCTTCTCACCTGACTTGAGCTGTTTGGTCAGGGTGCACCTCCATTTCAGGCGGTCTGATGCGAGGTCTTCCCAGGACTTGGTGTTTATGTCGAGGGCCTTCATGTCCCTCTTCACGACATCTTTAAATCTCAGAAATGGGCGTCCTGTTGTTCTCTTCCCAGATGAGAGTTCTCCGTAAAGGATATCCTTTGGGATTCTCCCATCCTCCATACGGCACACATGGCCAAGCCAGCGCAGGCGACGTTGTCGGAGCATGGTATACATGCTGGGAAGGCCGGCTCGAGTCAAGACTTTGACATTGGAGACTTTGTCCTGCCAGGTAATGCCCAGAACGCGACGCAGACCTCTTAGGTGGAAGGTGTTCAGTGATTATGGAAGCATTAGATGATTACGGAAGCATTATAAATAACCTGAGTTTGTCACTCCAGTTATCTTCGTCTTGAAGCTCCCCCCTTTCCACCCCTTCATCCTCCTCCTTTTTCTGATCGGGCGACACGGTGGCATGTTCTTCCCTTGTTCGCGTGGGTTTCCCCCGGGTTCCCCGGTTTCCTCCCACCGTCCAAAACATAAACCATAGCCAATCGACTAAAACAAATTATCACCCAATACAACCTTACTTCACACTTCTCACAGTGACAAGCAGGGGAGTTTTTGAGACCTACCTGATCTCGAACTCCCCTCTCGCCCTTCTAACAGGAGGGAGCCCCGGGCTCGAGGATATTACGAGCTCAGGGCTCTCTCCCAGGACAGCATGCCAAATACGCTTTATTGATTATCAGCTAAGTGTGAACTCTTGAATGAGCTTTGGGTGATGAACGAAAGGACAAGACAACGAAGGACAAGGAAAATTCTGAGTCCAGGCCTTGTAGTTCCAAAGAGTAGCATGATGCTAACTTATGGGCAGGCTAACAAAGATGATATGCAGTGCTCTATATAGCAGCTTACAAAACCAAACTGCTGTGTGGCTATGACACATTGCTGATCACTTGTTTAGACAAGCACCTGTTTAGGACACAGTGTGAGTATGAGCCATAATAGTAGTGATATTAGCATTAGCAAGTACCACTAATTGTTGTGCAAATACTTCTGTGTGTGTATGTGGTAAAGAGATGGACTAACCAGTAATAAAGTTCCCTAAAGCGGCCCCCGGGCACAACCACTGGGTGTGGGGTGTAAATCTGCGAGTACAGCTCTGGGTGGTCTCTCACATCATCACGGATCTACACAGCCACACACATTCATAACAAGATAAAGATTAGTTAACACTACATGGTGTACATTCATGATAAAGTATATTTACCTTTCGACCAAGCGACTTCCACAAACTGTGGAGCTCTTCAGCCCAGCTGCGATATTTTGAGTCAGACACTTTGGATAAAAAGTTTGGCCTGTGGAACAAGGAATATTACATTGTCTTGTCTTCATAAACTAGCTTGACTGCTTTTGTTATTCTTCATACTGAAAGAGTATGTTGACTGAGGCTTTACACAAGCCTGATTTATCCTTTAGTGTTCCAAAAAAAATGAATGCAGGCTAATTTTACAAGTGCCCTGGAGTGAAACTGTTGTGTTAACCATATTTTTAAGCATTCAGCCATTCTCTGGTGCTTTTAGCTTAGCATAAAATTCCATTAGCATCTCACTCCAAAATCCTAAAGAATTTTAATCAGTTCTCCCATTTAAAGCTTGAATCTTGAGGAAGACATGGTGGCTCAGTAATTACCTGTCATCTCACAGCAAGAAAGTTGCTGGTTCAAGTCTTGGCGGGGAAGTCGGGATTTCTGTGTGTTTTCATGTTCACCCTGTGTTGGAGTGGGTTTCCTCCAAAGGCATGGGTATAGGTGAATTAACAACATTGGCTGCAGTGCATGTGTGTGAATGATTGTGAATGGATGTTTCCCAGTACTGGGTTGCAGCTGGAAGGCCATCCGCTGTGTAAAACATATGCTGGATAAGTTGGCGATTCATTCCGCTGTGGTGACCCCAGATTGAATTAATCTTGACTCTTGTGTAGTTAAATTGTGTACTAGCAACTATACTCTAATTCTGGTGTAATAATCAGGGAACTTCTGTACCATGGCAATGATATTACACCGTGCCGTTACCTAGTTACTCAGCTGAGGACTACTTTTAGGCATTGAGTAATTTAATTATGGCTGCTGCAGCCGTGATACGGCAGCAAAGATCCTTGATTATTACGCAAGAATAAGAATAAGGTATTGGATTCTCTGTTTATGTTCTGATCTGTTGTTTCAGGTGTGTTTGATTAGGAAGAGGTTGAAAACGTACTGTCGGTGTGCCTTCAGGAATAGGGATGGGAAACACTGCTCTAGAACAGTGCTTCTTAGGCCGTACTCACACTATGTACAGTTGCCTCGAACCGGGCCAAAGCACGCTTGTCCCCCGCCTCCTGTCTCCCCGACGGCCCGCACTCACATACAATCGGGCCTCGGCACGCTTACATCATCGATGCTGTGCTCTGTTCAGTGAGAAGCGCTCTCGCTCAGCACAGAGGAGATTTCTCTAGTTATATCGTATCAGTTGTTTGATATGCAGTAACATGCAGTCAAATATTTCACCAAACAGTCCTTAGGGATGCGGTGACGCGCAGTCAGATATTTCGCCGAACAGATTCGCCTCTTTTGGCACTCATAAACAATCATAAAGCTCTCGTGCTGCAGGAATGAAGAGGTCTGCTGAAGGTGCAGCTGTCGTGCAGTGAGAGATTTGCGTCTTTAATAAACTACGGCAGTTTGCATTGATTGAACAGTAAGAATGATTAATTAATGCATATAAAACCGTCCCTTAAAAGTCACGTCTCGCTTTCAGTTTCGGGCTTTGGCGCGTTTTGCACTCACACACAAGCGTACAGTGCCAAAGCCCAAGTGAACCGCGCTCAGGCCCACCGGGCCTGGGCCGGCCAAGTGAACCGTGCTTGAGCCTGATTCAGCGCACTCACACTTCTCAAACGATCCGGGAAACAGGCCTGGGCACGGTACGGATGGCATAGTGTGAGTACGCCCTTAACCACATTCCTAAAGCCCACCAACACTGCATGTTTTGGAAGTCTCCTTTCTCTGTTCAGGCCTTTCATTATCTGCTAATGAACTGATGATCTGAGTGTGTTGGAATTGTGTATAGTTGGTGGTCCTCCAAAAACAGGGTTGAAAAACACTGCTCCAGGGTACTTATAAAATGATCCTATTTCCAAGTGTTCCTTTAAGATTTTAGAACTAACCACTCTTGTATACCCTATTCAACATGACAACAACAAATTTTCAGTATCAACGTTCTCACTTTGAATGCCAGTCTGTAGGAGTCCACCGCTCAAACTCATTGCCCGGCTCCTTAAAGTATGTTTGCAGGAATTTCTTTAACTCAAGAGATGGTACGGCCTTGTCTGGGAATACTGAACTCAGATTGGTAAAGGCCTCCAACACAACCTCTATACAAGGAAAGGGAAGAGGGGGGGAAAAAATCACTGATGGGCTTCTGACGAGTATCAGAACAAACCAAACATGTTTGACTCACCGGGAGCTGTAGTTAACGTCATATCTACAAAGTACTTGTCATCATCAAACAGTTTAGCCATCTGGACCTGTCGGAGGACTTCTCCAGTGCAGTAGATCTGACTGGTGGCAACAAAAACATGTCAGACAGCTGATGCGCAGAGTAACAGGGTAGCTTGTTAGTCTGCCCACTTCTTGTCTGGCACTCACAGGTTAAGCTCATAAAACCAAGATCAATAACACTCTCTCTACTACGGTTCTTTGATGAAGGTTCAAAGCTCAGCTTCGCAACATTCAACACTCCACCTGCTTTATCACAGACTCAAAGTTCAGGCATAATGAGAATGCCATCTGGTGGCTCTTGAAGTCTTTTATAACACATTGAGGACCATCTTTAAAGGTCAATGAAATGCAGAAGTCATTAGACATGTCAGAGACTCACAAAAGGTGTTTAGTGGGAACTATTAACAACCTCAATGTTTTAATGGTGCCATTTCATTGGCTAATTTAGAGAAGCATAATGAAATCTTGACCATGAAGGTTGGTTATGGGAACTAACCTGTCACAAGGAGCCAGGAGTGCATCGCCGGATGAGAAGAGGAGGGTCGACGAAATGACAATTAAGCAGTGCATCTTAGTGAGTTGAATTATAGTAGTAATGAAGTCAGTAAACTATCGCCAGAGATTTAAAGCTTGAGCTTTTTATCAATGATAGGAGGGTTAGAGGTCAGCTGCACTACACCAATGAATCATGTTCAATGGCTCGTAAGCCTATCAGTATGCAGATTGCTGGAAGTGGCAGCATTAAAATGTTACATAAGGGGAATGTTTACTTTGACATTCAATGCTGAAGTCTAGAGCAAGTACATTACTGTAGCCTTTACTACACCATACAAAGACAAGGTACAACAGAAGTGGTTTCTGCATGAATAAAACAAGCATTTCATATTGTCAATAAACTTCCAAGTGTCTAAACTCAATTATGGAGGGCAAGTGTCCTTTTTGGCTCCAACAAAGCAAAGTCTTATTCACTAGGAAAAAAACTGCAGGTCTAACAACCATTTCACAAATACAAAGATTAAAAAAACCCATTATAGAGTGCCCTAAAGCAGCCCCCGGGCACAACCACTGGGTATAAAATCAGTGATTACCACTCTGGGTGATCCAGAAAAGGTGCTGGATCTGCTTAATCCCAAATTCTGCAGGACACGGATCCTCCATATGCAGTAGTTTTACATGTGTATACTTAACACTAAATTCAAACATTTATTTTTTACAAAATAAAGACACCTTAAACACATACATGGAACTTCAGTGAGCTTTATTATCAAACAAAAACCATGACAGATGTTAACCATTGCATTCACACATCTCAACTCTTTAAAAATGCAGCATCACTGAGAAACAAAAGCCAATTGAAACGGTCCAAATTGAAAAGGAGAAACAAAACAATACTTTGGATTTCTCTTGAATTTGGTTGTTCATTTGCAGTATCCAAACAGAAAGAAAAACATCTCAAATTTGAGGGCAAAGGTTAAAGATTGAATTCCTTACCCTGAACTCCTAATTGTTCATCTTAATTTTTCTTTTAAGCCAATTTACCACATCCCTCCCACCCACCAACCCAAACTGATGTATCCAAATACTCCCAACACTGAACACAAAGATGGAAAGTGCTGGAATTAGAACGATACATCAGGGCAGCCAAAAAAAAAAAAAAAAAAAAAAAAACTTCCCACCCACCCAATACAAAAATTAAATAAAAATAAATAAAATAATACACTGAAGAATGAGTGGATTTCCATTATGTAATTAGCTTAAGCTTCAGAAAACAACTCTTAAACAGGTGAGATGTTCTCCAACTCTATTCTTCAAAATGAAAGGGAAAACCAAAGCTTAAAATAAAAAAATAAAAGAAAATAAAACAAATCAAAACCCCAACCACCATGGCAAAGACCACAGCACATCCAATCACATGCTGATTTACAGCATCACAAGAAAGAACTGTGACTTCCACAGCAAGTGGTTACTGAAAAACACTGGGCTGCTGCCAAACGCCCAGAAACTCGCATTCTCCTCTCTAGAGCAGATCGGTTTAAAAAGCCCCCAGAAGAAACCAAAGCGGATTAGTTGGGCGAACAATCTGTGCACACCAGAGGGGAACGCAATAGAGAAGAGAATATGAGGCCGGATTAAAGCATGGCCACTGTGGAAAAGGCTGCATTTTGAGGATTGTGATAAATAATAATCTGGGCCAATATTTGGGTAACCAACCACACGGTTAGTACGAACGTCCTTAATTATATCAATAGCCTTCACAGTCGACAATACTAATCCAAAAAAAAAAAAAAAAATTAATTAAACATCTCACCTGTAATTGACTATCTAATGGGGACGTTGGTGATGTTGAAGTCCAACGTAAAGAATTTAACGCAAATTGTGCTAATAATCATAAAAAGACATAAATTGTATCCCTCCCAAGCTTAACCCACCCCATATAAAAGGAAACACCCTCAAAACATCACGGGTCAAATGCATAACTTAGTGACAAAGCAGCAGAAGGGCTAAAGTGTCTCAAGCAAGCCCATTTCAATCCCCAGAGAGGGGGAAAATAAATCACTCAGAAATCTTTAAAGGCTATTAGTGTTTGGGGTGATGGGGATGAATATTCTGCTGCAAAAAAATAAAAAATAAAAAAAATAAATCATTTGGTTATCAGCACCCATGTAATACCCACATCCCATGTTAAATACCCTCATCCCTGCCACAATACTTCCTCAAAAAAATTAAATAAAATAAAGATTAAACTCCCTTATGGTCTTTACACCTCTAGCCTAACCGAGGAAGTGCTCCAAGCACGTGTGCAGCCTTTATTATTGCCCAACCCTTGAACTAAAGTTCAAACTTAAGTGCAGCTCTCACTGCAAAGATTTAGATTCTTCTGTAAAGTCTGTGCAGCATCTTAAGAACATGGTCTTTTTACAAAAAAAAAAAAGCCTGCTGACTCACAATGCACTGCATGTCTCTGCCGCTACATTATGTCAGTCCATCAAGTCTTGGCATCCAGTTGAGTATATTTTTGTCCATTTTTTTTTCCTTTTTCCAATGGGAACCACCAAGTCTTTCGATCCTCCCACCCTTAACGGTCTGTTTGAAGTCATGTCCTAGTGCCGGTGGCAGTGAACACAGACCCATGTAACAGCTACACATCTCGCTTAGAAATTCTAGATTTTTGCACGTTGCCAATTTGAGCTGCACTGCAGCGAGTAGCACTATTACATGATGAAAATATTAAATTATCTCTATGATTAGAGTCACCCAGGCTCAGGGACCCCGCTGAGTGCTCATAAGTCAGTGTTACAAGCAAAAGGCTGGAAAGCAATTAAGCCTCATGTTTTCACAACGCGCAAATGAGGCCATTTATTTGAGCGACCCACGTCAGGAAACATGTCAACACTGGAAAACGGATGAGTTAATAACTGCAAATCTGAACAATTGCACCACCTGCTGAAACCACCAGAGGATTACACTCAAAACCTTTGAACGGAGTCTCGAGTTTTAAAATAAAGAATAAAGCAAGTGTGAACTCATTTCTTACGATAACAAAACACTGGCGGTGCATTACCAGGAAAGGTTTAAACTTTAAACTTATTTCCCCATGAAGGGGGATGGAAAAGGGGGAATAAGCAAACAAAAGTGCCATCCAGTGCTGACAGGATCCTGGATTTTAAAGATCTTTCCAACATTCTTCTCAAATGTTCATCCAGCCTTTTTAGCTTGCTTTAAAACAATCCATTTAAAAAAAATAAATGAAGTATTTACAAAATGTTTACAAATGCGCCAGATCTGTATAAATGGCACATTTAGGACAGAGTGCCTACCCAAGAATGCAAAACTGCACTGAAATCAGGATGAAATTGGGAGGATAGAAAAAAGAAAATGAGGGAGGAGTAAAAGAAAGAAATCCACATTCATCTCAAAGAGAGATTCCTCATGGCCAATGAGAAAGGCTGGTCTGAGTCTGGTCTAGTCTCTTAGTGTTGGCCCGCTGAAGACAGAGGGGGAAAGAGTTACGGGTCTCTAGAGGCATGGCATGTTCCATGAGCAGATGAAGGGAACAAAAAAAAAAAAATCCTTGTGAATCCTTGAGCCGTGTGGGACTTTTGAAAGCTTGCCACAAGAAGATCAGCCCCTATCATTGTCATTATGCTCACTGATTTCATCTCAGTTCTCCAAGGGGCTTCTTTTCACAACATAGTCAAAGTACGGCACAATTTGCTGCCTCATCCTCTCTCCCACTGCGCAATCTTTTTCTTTGTTGCCCCAATAAACTACAGGTGACAAATGCTAAATTATTCTTCTGATGCCAAACGTGTAGGGGCAGACAAGCAACACCAAAAAGCCAGAGTAGTAAAAAAATGATGTTGAATGAGGAGGAGAAAAAAAAAATCATCAGGTTATTACTTTTTGAACAAGTTAGACTGTTAAGGCACTTGTTTCAAATGACTAGAAACATGAATACGAGCAGAGGGACAGAGACTGTGGGGTGTGGATGTGCTTAAAGGCGATGAATTGTTTTTTTTTCCTTGGGTGATAAATCCTCATGTCCCCTCTTTCCCTCCTCATCAAGTGATCTGAATTCTTCAGGATGAAAATATTGGTATAGCAGTCCTTTAGTGGGCCATGAGTCCTTCCCGAATATTGGGCCATCGACACGACATTCCTTGTGGTGGCACAAGACAGGAGAGAAAAAAAGAAAACGAAAAAAAGAGGGAGGTGGGAGTAGAGGAAGACAGAAATAAGATATAGTTGAAAGGAGGGGGGAAAAAAAAGAAAAAAAAAGTCCCCTATTCCCTAGACACAGTAGGGAACGAAAAGGGTGGGATAGGGGACAAAGGATTGGTGATCTGGAAGGAGTGGGGGGGGAGAAAAAAAAAAAAAGAAGTTAATATCAAACATGTATGCATGACAAATGCTGACTCATCCTAGCTCTGAACTCACCTCTCCTGCTCACAGTTTAACCTCCTCTCCGCTCTCACTGTGGTACTCGGCCACATATAGACTCTTGTCAATACTGCTGGGAATGGGCTTGATTTCAGTACCCAGCTGTTCTTCAATACCTTTCAGGTTAAAGCGGTCATCATAAGTGATCAAGTTAATGGCAAGACCCAAGTGTCCAAATCGGCCTGAGAAGGACAAAAAGGCAATTATCATTTACACAGATTCTTCTTCAAAAACCTAGCCAGTCAAACAGCAAGATATAAGATGTGAACTTAAGTTCTCAGGTCCAGTTGACATCTCATATTAACATTAGTGTTTATTAATACAACCAGGCGGTCATTTATGATACGTTTTCATTTTGTGTTTGGATTGGTTGACACCAATTACCTTCTCACTCTATACATCACTTTCAGAAAAGTATTCAACGGAGATTAGGGCTTGGCTGATGAATGATATCGAATTGTGATAAAGTTTGTGATAAACAATGATAAAATCTGGAAGTTTTACTCTTTAGCAAACTAAGAGCCAAGCAGAAATGTGCAACAACAGTAATCTAAAAAAAAAAAAAAAAAAGTGGACATTAGAGAAGTACCGAATCTTCAGCTACCAAAAATGTGCCATAATTTATTTTTTGTGGCTTCAGTCACTGTTGGGATAATATTCGATATGGAAAATTAGTGGAACGGAAATTAAGATATTTAAAAGGTGAAATCTGAGCACCCATATCTGCCATAGGCAGATGGATCAACAATAAATAAAAACAAATAAACATTCCTCAAACAGACCATATGCCTTGAGTGGTTATATTGAAATATTACCAGGGAACGAGAATCTTGTGTTTTCTACACATGGTTTTTTTAAGCCCACTCACCTGCGAGAGTTGCACTCAGAATTGATACGATTTTTAAGAATGTCTTGTGGTGAGGTGTGAACAAAAACAGAACCCCCTCTTCTCTCCCGAAGGAGATTGAGAGATTGATTTCTAGTTGTTGCTTAAATAGTAGTGAATCAGCAGTCTGTGTGGGAATGGGAAGAGCACACCAGTGAGGAACAGTGAATGAAAAGGTTTTGAAAATTGACTTATAGCCTCTCTGCTATGGTACCACAAGGCAGTGCTCACTCACTAACCTAAGGCTCCTGGAGGGGATGCAGGCCTTCAGGAGCAGGAGGAGGTACTCTTTGAAGGGCAGCTAATCATCCAGGATCACCCCAAGAATCTTTGCTAAATTACACAGGTTAATCCACAGATTATTCCAGTTGGATTGAAAATTTTTATTGAATGTGTGGAGTGGCAGGGAAGACAAGAATTTGGTGGTGATGGTCTTTCATCCAAGCCAAGATATCCTCTAGGCAGTGCGAGATCCTTGCAGCTATCGTTGGGTCATCAGGAAGAAAGGAAAGTAAGAGCTTGGTTTCATTGGCATAGCAATGAGAAAACCATGTGATTGGATGATGGTTCCTAGTAATGGTGTAAATAGAAAATGGAACTGGACCAAGAACAGATCCCTGAGGTACTCAAGTGACCACCTGATGAACCTTAGATGTCTCTCCTCTCCAGGTAACTCTGAATGATCTGCTGATGAGATGAGACTACAACCAGCAGAGTGGGATTCCAGCGATGCTCATTGATGAGAGGGTGGACAGCAGAATCTGATGAATCATTATCATTTCAAAAGCAGCAGACCAGTCCAGTATAAGCAGAAGAGAGGATTTAGCACCGGCTTTGGCAATCCGCAGGGCTTCAGTGACAGTAGTGCAGTCTCAGTGGAATGTCTACATTTGAAGCCTGATTGGTTTGCATTCAGCAGGTTATTAAAAGGTGTTAATGTAGAGATTTTGGTTGCAAACTACCTTTCAAGTGTTTAGGCAACATCATATATTTATGATCTGAGCATAAAGGCATATGATCAGTTGAGAGTGTTTTTTTTTTTTTTTTTTTTAAGAACTTTTCAATAACAATAAACATGTCAAAACTATTGCTGTCTGGGTGGAAGCACACAAACTTTAAATATAAAATATGATCCAAATCATACGCCAAAAACAAACGCAGGTCTCAGCAGTCAGAATGCATCTAGCATCTACTTGCAGAAACCAATCTGCTCAAACAGGTTTGACTACCGCTCTTAAAAAAAAAAAAAAAAATTTAATTAAAAAAAGTATTTTTTGTAAATACATTTACTGCCGTCTACTTGTGAAAGTAAACAGGACCTAGGGGGGAGAGATCGAAACTAAACCCTACTCACCAGATCTGCCAATGCGATGAAGGTACGTCTCCCCGAGTTTGGGAAAATCGAAGTTGATCACCACATTCACAGCTTGAATATCAATTCCTCTCGTGAAGAGATCTAATAAAAGTTTACATGATTCAAAAAAACTCATACAAACAAGCCAAAGAAAATGCATGCTTAAACTATGATTTAATAACTATGATATTAAGCAAACACTGATATTCAATGGTCCTTACCAGTGCAGACGAGATTTCGACATAAGCCGTTTCTGAAATCATGGAACACGCGGTTTCTGTGTTCCTAAAAAATTTAAATAAATAGAAACATGTTGGCAAAAATCACAAGACACAAAAGCCCCAAATCATTTGAAATTCCATACACATTTCAGAAATCACAAACACTTGCTCCGTTTCAGAATTGTGCCAACAGCAGTGCAGTCACACCACATGCCCTCTTTATACGCACCTGCCTCATCTTGGCATGAATGTAGAAACAGGAGTACCCAAGCTGTGAGATCTTTTTAGCCAGGAGTTCCACTCGCTGGGACGAATTGCAGAAGATTATAGACTGATTGATTTGGAGCTGAAGCGAAAACATTAAAAAGATCAGATCTGCCTGTTCTTAAATGGTCAGTAGTAATGGATCAGATGAGAATGCAAAGTGCTTTTACCCTAGAGAATAGAGTATTAAGGCAATGGACTTTCTGCCTTTCAGTCACATAGGCATAATACTGAGTAACCCCCTTCAGGGTCAGCTCCTCCATCAGGTTTATCTCATAGGGCTTCTGGAGATGGGAGTTCTGTTCACAAAAACAAAGGGTGCATTAATCACTTCTGAAATCTAATGATGGTACAATTACATGCAACATTTCTTTATGGCCAAAAGAATGAAAAAAAAGTGTGTTGTGTAACAAAACTAAAGCAACATGTTATTTTAATTACAGATTGACAAGTATTTTTTTATTTTATTTTTTTTTATTCAGGATGTGAAAGCGCTGCGTCAAAACCTTCTTTACCAATCAGATTGGCACTTTTGCTCATGTGCACGGAGCTGCTGAAGTTACAGTAAACAGCACTTGGAGGCGCTCAAGCGCAAAACTGTCAATAGGAAGCACATTAAAGAAGATGCCCAGAGGTGATATGAAAGTTTAGCTTCTTACTGCTCTTGTGAATAATAATAATTTCTTCATCGCTAGAGCTGCCGCTTAAACCATCCATGCTTGTCCGAGTCACCAGTAACTTTAACAAGCGTGTGAACTTCCTCTCCTCCTCTTCTTCCGTTTAAGCGGGTGTCAGAAGCTTAAAGTTGTGTAGCGCCATCAGACGTCAAGGAGTGATTTTGCATAGTCTTCTGCTTGACGCCAGTGAAAAATCACTTGGGTTTGAATGCAGGAAAACGTCTCATAAAACGATGAAGATTAACGCAAATGAAAAGCGTCCTGGTGTTTAGGAGCCTTAAGCGTGGCACACTAGGCACAGTTGCCTTGAAATCATGCCGAAGCATGCTTGTTTCCCCTCTCCTGTCCCCCCCACACCCTGCACTCTCACTGCATTTTGCCTTCTGAGCCTGAGCACGCCTACATCAGATGACAGAACTGTTCAGATTGACAGAAAGAGAAGTGCTCTCGCTCAGCACAGTGGATATTGCTTTGGTTATATCGTTTTGCATTAAGTTGTTGGGGTGCAAAGATACGCAGTCAAATATTTTGCCGAACAGATCCACCATTTTTGAGGTTTATAAACTTTCATAAATGTCCTTGTGCTGCACGTATTAGGAGATTTGCTGAAGGTGCAGCTGACATTCAATGAGAGGTTTGCATCTTCAATAAACTACGAGTTCATATTAAAGTTCATTGAAAAAAAATAAATAAATTTATATGAAACTGTCCCTTAAAATTGACGTTTCGTGCTTAGGCATGATTTGCACTCACACTACAAGTGTACCACGTCAAAGCCCAACGGAATCGTGCTCTGGCACATCTCTCCCAACTAGGCCAGGGCTGGCCAACTGAACCGCACATGGGCCCGATTTGGAGCAGTCACTTGTCAAACTAACCAGGAAACATGCCCAGGCATGGTTTGGATATCCTAGTGTGAGTGCACCCTAAAAGAATCATAACGGATTTCCTACAAATACAACGTGATTGCAAGCCTCCTCTCCAAGGAGAGGAAAACAGCCATGGTCCCATAGTGGATCATTTTGTTCAGCGGTTTGACGAGTCAAATCTAAAATTTAAATGCAACAAAAACTAAAAATGACATGACTATTGATTTTAGAAGGAATCATACAACACCTGGCTAATATCAGGGGTCAAAAAGTAGAATGTGTGGAGAACTACAAATATTCGAGTACCATTATTGACTTTTTTAAACTGTGGCAAACTGTGATGCTGTGTGCAAGAGGGGGCATCAGAAACTTTGTCTTAGGAAACCATCACGTTTTTACATTGGCCCCAATATGCTTACTCTTTTTCTATCGTGCTTTTATGGAGTCTATTTCTATCTTTCGCTCTGGTGGCATGGTTTGGAAATCTGTCCAGGACTATTAGGTAGTCTAGCAGGTTGATTATTGAATCCCTGTATAGTAGGCAACTTTTATGGATTGTCCAGAACATCAGTAACTATAGCGGTCATCTTCTGTCTGTAGGACAAAAGTGTACAGCAATAGCTTCTGTCCCATTTATTGTCGCTCTACATAAACTGTAATATTTTAAAATGTACTTTAGTATGTGTATATGTGGGGATGTATGCGTGTGACTTAATTGTATCAAACGCCAAACGTTGCTGCAAAGAGTCTACCTATGGGTACCAATAGAGCAGATCGCGATCTTTTAACGATTAATTGTGCAGCTCCAAGTCAGTGCACTGTAAAAACAGTAGTTGCACAGAGTATTTTGTTATCTATTAAATTACCCAATAAATTTTATTTTTTAACGCCTACCTCCACCCCAAACCTAAACCCAGTCACAGTACTGTAAAATATTAATTGTTACAATGTGCATAAATCGCACCTCCGGCCAGCCACGCATCTGATCTAGACTCAACCCTGATTAAACAGGTGATCCAACTAATAAAGCTGTTCAAGACTACTAGAGTTGATTAAGAAGGTGCGAGTTGGAGCTCAACTGTGCAAAGCTGCAGCCCTCCAGGAAATTGATTGAGACCATTGCAATAAAGTTAACTAAACTGAACATAAATAAAAAATAAACCTCAAGGTACAACTATGCATGAAGTGAAGTTACTAAATTAACATTTACTTTAAAATAAATGAACTGTTCGATAAATTAAATGAATGCATTAAAGTGAATTTGATTGAAAAAAAAATGTATAATTTTTTGCATTTTGTTCATCTACGTTTGCTTAAGACATAAGTGAAAAATGTTATGCAAAAAACAATAGATATCTTAAGTAAGCTTACCATGAACTTTTGCACACTCAGTGGGAATGTGGCAGAGTACAGCAAAATTTGCCTTTGTTTAGACAAAGAGCTCAGAATCTCCTCCATCATCTGTACAAAATCCTGCGACAAGAGCTTATCTGCCTACTCGGATAGAAGGGCAAAACATCCATGAGATGTGAGAATTACTTTCAGCTATTAGCATAAGCACAAAATAAATCTCATATTTACACACCTCATCCAACACGATCATCTGCACTTGACCCACTTTGGCCACTCCCTTTTTGATGAGGTCTAAAATTCTTCCTGGAGTGGCGATGACGACGTGCACTACAAATAGAATACAATAAGAGCAATTCAAACAGAACGTCAAATCATTTAAAAACCAGTGCCACTAATTAAACAATCACCTACCAGTTTCGTCAAGTCTCATGATGTCATCACGAAGGTTGGTTCCACCTGTAGTTGCCATGACCTTGACCCCGCCCATGTGTTTGCTGACCTGGATACAGATCTGGCTCACTTGAAGAGCCAGTTCTCTAGTGGGCACAATGACCACCGCTGCGAAAAAAACAAAAACAAAGAAAGGATGAGGTCACTTACAACCAGTAGAGAACTCTCATATAAAAGCTAATGAAGCCCATGAACATGCAAATGTGCCAAATGCAAGATCTTCCCACTGACCTTGTATGCTGTCTTTCTTCAGGTCTATGCGTTCAAGTAAGGGAATGAGGTAGGCGCCACTTTTTCCTGTGCCGTTCTTGGCTCGGGCCAGAATGTCCCTCCCAGACAACGCAATGGGAATGCTCTCCTCCTGCATGAACAGTAGAGATCAGTGTAGTGAGCAGATGGGTCTGATTAAACGCACTACTTCCAATATGTGGATGAAAATCTCATGATCACTGATTTAACAAGAAAGTGTCAGTTTGAGGCATTCATCATTTACATTATTATTTTTAGGCATTTTATAAAATGACCATTGATAAGCAATTAAATCCATAGACTTGGACTGCTACTACAAATGTGACATTTACATATGAAGTACGCAGATATGCATAAATGAGAAGTGAGGTTTGATCTACCACACATCCTCACAGGGATCATTCAACCAAAAATGAAAGTTCTGCCATAACTTCTCAGTTCATTGGTTCAAAACCCATTTGAGTTTCTTTCTTCTGTTGAACACAAATGTAGATAGAGAAATACTGATAGTTGGCAACCAATGATGTCCATAAATGACTATGGAAGTCAGTTATTGCCAGCTACCTAAATATCTACTTTGGTGACTAACAGAACTCAAAAGGTTTAAAACCACATGAGCAAATGATTGTTTAATACAATGCCAGATCGTATGGCTATTTTCACAGCGAGAAAAAGGTATTCTGGAGACATAAATTATAATAAGGCTTTTCAATTTATATTTGCTAAACTCTCCAACTTTTAGATTATCAGTGTAAAAAAACTGCTTTAAAAAAATGAACTGAATAAAAAAAAAACAAGAAAAAAACAATTCTCACAAAATTAAATCCAACAATTAAAAAAAAATTTAAAGTGCTTTCACAAATAGAACCGTGTGGGAGGATCTTCTCCAGGTATTAAGAACTTGTCATTCTGGAGTGACTGATTCTACAATGGATAAAAACAATGTGGTCCCAATGGTTAGAAAATTTATAGAAGTTTCTTTCACCAGCAATAAGCCAATTTCGAGAAGTTTTTTTTTTTTTTTGCATGCAGATCTCATTCTCTGTCAATGAACGTATGAACAAAGTTTGTTTTGGATTCAAAAAAAAGTTACTGGACAAATTCTCATTTTTAGGTGAATATCCCTTTAAGAATCCACTGTCTCACTATGAGGACATGTATCATCTCCAGAACTGATCAGACAGTCACTGTGCAAGCATTTCACAGTTTCATGCGATAAACACTATCGTTACAATCACACACAGTTAAAATGCCTTTAGTCAAACTTAAAATTTGGTTGAGCTTTATTTAAAAAAAAAAAAAAACTTATTTCAAATAATTAAATTTGAAAAATAAATAATTAACATTAATATTGTGAATTAGAAAGTCCCATTACTACTATGGATGTACATTTACAATTAAGTCAACAATAAATCGGTTGCAACAATCTCAGGATACAAAAAATAAAAATTTATAATTATTTTACTAAACATTGTTTCGCCCTTACATTTGATTATCCAATTACTGCCAATAAATTTATTAAATTCTAGAAGACAACTTAAAAATAAAAAAAACTAAATTTGCACATGATTTGATTTAAATTAAGACAATCTAAAAAAGTAAAAATAAATCAGAACTTGATTAAAACTGATTATTTTAATAGATTTAATGTTACAAATTAAAATTACATTTAAATATTAGGACTGCATTGATGAAAAAGTAACTAGGCTCTACACATGGTATAAGTGTTAAGACTCTTTAAGATCAAGACTGCCCTCTTCAAATAATAGTAATTCATATCTAAAATTTCCAGTGTCTTTATTTTGCCTCTTGCCTGTATAGGTGATGGTTTCTCCCAGCCCATTTCAAAGATGCCCATAAGCAGCTCTCGTTTTAGGCAATAATCTTCAAACTCATTTCCCTTGGTCGCCGTCACATCCTGCAAAATTCACAATCATTGAGTGTTCTAGAAATGTTAAAGAAATCAAAAAAGCATTGTGGTTCACAGCCTTTATAAAATTAAATAAAAAACACAAAATTACAGAGGGACTTACTGATGTTTTCATTCGCAAATCTTTTGGAGGAAGCTTTAGATTCTTCTTCCAGTCATCTCCAGGCCTGATACATGGGAAGGGAAAGAAAAAGTTAAATACCAAATCATCTCTAAGAAAGCAGCACACAGCGGCATTTGCAAGGACTTACTTGATGATAGTGTTGGCTGTGGGTACAGGCTGGGAGTTGCCATTGTTGACTGTGCTAGAGGCTTTGACCTGGGCAGGCTGTGTTGTTTGGGACCCCCCTCCACCTCCACCGGGACCCCCTGCTGGCTTCACAGAACCTCGCATTTGGCCGTTCTGATTGGACAGTCCCAGAATCACTGGGTTCTCCATTCTGGCTGTACTCATGACTTAAATATTCTCTCTTGAAACAGTGAGCGACAAACAACAGTGGAGATAATACTTTCTCTTGATGGTCTTGCAAAAAAATTAATTTGCAAGTCGTCCTTCCCACAGCTTTCTCAGTGTCCAAAGCGCACAAAAGCAAAAAAAAAAAAAAAAAAAAGTTCAAGCAAAATTTTTTTACCAGTTCCTTGTTCCTCAATATAAAAGTCTCTTGTGGAACATCTCAATATGAATGTCACTCAAGCAACAGGTCACAGATGCTATAAGCAGGAAGATTAGCTTCAATTATCCTTCCATTAATGAGTGAATTTCTCCTCTGCAAAAGGAAAGTTTCACAGACAAGGGGCCAGGAAGCCAGTGTTAGTCTTTTCAATTGTTCTGTCCATTCCCTTCTCTCAAATTAGTTAACATGGGCGATTTCAAATGTTTTCCACCTGTGTGAGAGAGAGAAGCATTATAAACGTGAAACGTTAGACCAAACCACTACAAGATTTCAGTCAATAAAAACACTGGTTACTGGTTCCAATTTTTTTTTCAGTTAGAGGATTTTCCAAAAAAAAAAAAAAAAAAAAACTGGCATCATGCCACATCTTACAGTAGCAAAGAGAGCTTAAATAAAATAAAAAAGCATGCAAATACAAAAAAATGCCAGCAAATTCAGAAAAGATCACAAAAAAATTGTGCTTTTTGATAGTGCGGTGAGAAATTGCAGTGATGAAATTCATTTTTCATTTTCATAAGTTTGCATTATAAGAAAATGCAGTGCGTTTTATTCATTTGTTTGCATTGTGAGAAAATTAAGTGAATTTTTTAAAAAATTTGCGTTGTGAGGATTTGCATAACGTGCTGTAAAATGGATGAATAGGGCTAGGCAATTAATCGAAATCAACATTCACTAATAATCGATCTAATTTTTCCAGGACAATTTTCACAAGTACTTTCCCTACGTGTCAGGTGACCCTGCTTTGTTAAAGGCTGTGGCTAATTTCTACTTCTGTAGCCAAATATGACCTTTGGTCAAGTAGGACGATGGACTCATTCTTGAGCCTTACTTTGCACTACATTGACGAGGATTGGAAGCTGTGCCAGAAATGCCTTTAGACAGCACATAAAACTTTGAGGGCAAATAAATAAAATATTTGTTGAATTTTCTAAATGGTTAGTTTTAGATTTTGATTTTAGGCCAAATGGACCAGCCCTACAGATGAAGATCTTTTCTTATTTTGCTGGTGTTGTTTTGTGTTTTTATCTTATATATATATATATATATATATATATATATATGTATAAATAAATATACACACACACACACAAGTTTTAAGATTTCATAGTGGCTAATATTATGACACCATATGCAAATTGGTAAACAGAGATTTTAAAAATAAATCGCTTTGTACAAGATCTGAGATAATTCCCAAATCACTACAAATTCAAAAATTTTGATCCATCAAGTTTGTACATGTTAACATTTTGTAGCAAAATCTCAATATGCAAAACTTGCTTAATGCCATCCGGACATTAACTTAAAAATATTTCTTCATCTGAACCATTTATGAAACTTAAGGAGAAGAGAAGGATGAACAATGAGTATATAAAAATTGCTTTATTGGTGTCTATGTAAACGTGATTAAGACAATATTCTGATTAAGAGTCCATGCAAATAGCGATAAATTAATCTGATTAAGGTCATTATCAAATTAAACAAATAAGATTAAGACATGGAGTATGCCAATTTTAGTCACATTACTAAACTGCAGTAGACATGTAAACACCTTGAATGAAACTATTACCATCATGTGGGATTTGCTGCATTTTGTGACTGGACATTTCATACACACAGCTGTTTGACACTATTCTCTGTACCTACCGAGTCAGTGAGGAATCACAGACACCTGCATCATGAAATGTGGAGTTTATGTTTCCAATACTGCGTGCGGTATCAAATTCCAATAAAACGACCCTCTTACAGCATTAAATACTCATCCAATATTTCATTTGTCAGGGGAGGCATGCATGAAATGTTCCTGAGTGAAAGTGCCAAACTGCAGTTAAAGTCGACAAATTTAAAACACCGGAAATTACATGATATCCCAGAGGAAATGTGAATAGCGTGGCGATTCTATGAAGTTAATTGAATTGTGCTACAACATGTAAAACAGGATCATGAAAAGAACATACAAATTGCAACTTATGCGAACACCTTAATCATATTACTGTCTTATTCAGATTAAGGCAAATAATTTAATTACTAATGTAAACTTAGTCATTGAGTGCTTAGATCAAGCAATGTCGACGAGGCATGGGACGATAAGTTTAAGGTATACCACGGTTTGGAAAAGCCAAGGTTTTAAAACCGCAAAAGTTTCCTACTATACCATTCCTAAGGTATGTCCAAGTTTTGTTTTTTGTTGTTGTTGGTTTTTTAGGACAACAGTATTTCCAGCAGAAAGGAATCAAAAAAAAAATCCAAAGATGCTGTTTTAAATTGTAAGGAAATCTGTGTTTTTTTAAACAAATGAAGACAGCATTAGTCAAAGGCTGTGTCCGAACCGCCTACTACTCAGTAGGTACTGCTTTTGAATTTAAATGTACTACTCGGCAGTTACAAACGTACGTTCTATACAGTATGAATGTGAAAAGTATGAACAGAATTCGGACGTACTATATCCACCATTTTGTCATGGTCACGTGACCTACCTGCATCAGTTGCGTTGCTTAACTTCCATTTATGAATTCTCTCACGTGGCATTATGGGACAGCGCAGCGTGCATAGGATGCGCACTCCGGAATCTCACCGGAAGTAGCAAGTCATCCGGGTACTTCTCGCAAACTGATTTTCGAACTCTATGAATTTGGACATACTACTCGACTCGCATACTGATTTTAGCATACCATATAGTATGGAAGTATACGGTTTCGGACGCAGCCAATGATTCATTTGAATTATTTAGCCTAACATGTTTACCATTACAAAATATATCAAATGTTTCTCTAAATAAAATAAATTGTGTTGAAAGGGGAGAAAAAAAAAGTTAGTTTTTTTACCCAGACATTTAATTAGAATATATTTTAAAAGGAGTAATCACAATATCGTAAAACAGAGATATTTTTATCCGAGGTTATCATACCATCAGAATCTTATACCAGCCCATGCCTAATGTCGACCAAGCAAGACATCGTATGAGGTCTAATGTGAAACTTTGTGATGCAAGATGAGATCAGGGTTAAGGTTGGGTTTGATAAAAGGTTCCATCATTTTAATTTTCTTTTAACAAAAAGTGTGCTAATTGCTCTGTGCATCTTTACCACAAACTAGCACTAACACTTATACTTCTACAATTACCTGCAATATTACAGCATCAAAAGAGTTAACGCACACTCATGCAGAAATTACAGGGACAAGCTCTGGTAGAAGTGTCAAGATAAAAGTATCTTGAATTTGTAACCAATTACAACGTTAATTCATTTTCAGATCTATGAACAGACCATAAACGTTATTAAATGTCTAATGTGAGTTCAATAATGATGGCAGCAGCAGCTGGCACAATGTCAACACGATAGGCCTCATTGTAAAACAGTCTCGCGTTTACCTAAAGCATTTAAAAATGACAAACTTTAATAAATGTGACTTCAGTGTTGTTATGCATCTATAAAAACAGGTGAAGTTGCACATTGACTACACAGCTGTGGAGCTTAAAATTAGACATAAAAAATGTTTGGTTACCTTAAGTTAAGCGAAAGCGTATAGTTCATTGAACTCATTCCACGAATACTAAAAAACAATGTTATGTTATACGATATAACCAGTGTCACGTTGTAGTTATTAAGCTAAAATGTACATCTTAAAGGTTAACCGTATTGATTCCACATAACGTGAAACTCGGCGTCACGCAGCAAACGTTAATGCTAATGTTTAGCTACGCAGCTACCACTGACGGCTTCAAGTCAGACAGATTTTAATAGTCGGATACATTTTAAATCTTTAGCAAACACGGTTATCATAATACGATGGAATGTGGCTTTTATTATAAGCAAATCTAAATATTTAATCTGTTAGGAAGGAAATTTTAGCAGTGCTCAAGCTCGTTAGCTTTGGGCTTGCACACAGGCCGCACGCGTAACCTCAGATTCACAATCACCAGTATAAAGAACTAAACGCTCGTTTCATAAACGCTAAAACAGAAGCAAGAACATATTTAACTCTTAACTAAAGCAGCTACACAAACACTGCGAGCCAAAAAGACATCACAAATTTGTAAACACCAAGACACAAAGAAACCCACAAAACCGACTTAATCCCCAGAACACAACACGTAAGGATTTGACGTTCTGCAAACTTACCAAACGTGGCAGAGAATATCTTTCAGTGTGTTTGTGTTTGTGAATTATAGGTGTAGAGTTGTGACATATTTCGGGGTGTAAAGCGAGTGTGTAAGATGGCTTCCAGTCATCTTTAAACCCTCCCATAATCAGTCACATGAGACAGAGCCCTGTCTAATCCACACAAACGCAACGCATATGACGATTGTTTAGAAAACGCAATTTAATGCTGCCGTCATTTCAAATGCGTTGTTAAATATATATATTAAGAATGCGTTAATTAAGCTCTTAGAATTTCGTTTTATTTATGTTTATTTATTTGTAAGCGGTTGAGGTCGTCACAATTATACATTTTGCTTTAAAAACGTCCTAATTACATAGCAGCGCAGTTTAATTCCTACCTGAGCTTGTTGTAGTCTTGGCTGAAGCACGGCATGTCAAGGGTGTCATTTAATTAGCTCAACGTGTTTATACTTGACTAATTGGTGTAAGGATTCATGTGATTTAGACATACTGTTTTTTTATTTGGGCATTTAAAAACATATTTTATCTTTAATAATAATGCTTATTTTATTATTGTTGAAGAGGCTTGAAGTGCACAAAGTAGGAATCTGTTGATAGGCACGCCTGAGGTGTTTAGAGGTAGTTAATTAATTGCCTTGAGTAGTTTAATAACTAATTAGACTGACTTATGTGGCTAGAAAGTTGTTTTTTAACGTAAAAACGATTTATTTTTTGTGCATTAGTATGTCTTTTTTCATTTACATATTTTTTTGTAGCGGAAAAAATAAATAAATTTTAAGCACGATGACTAAAGTGTCCTTAAGTTTGACATAATATACATTAAAACTAATATTTCATTAATTTTCTCTCAGCTTAGTCCATTTATTCATCAGAGGTTGCCACAGCGGAATGAACCGCCAACTTATCCAGCACATGTTTTTTTTTTTTTTTTTTTTTACAGCAGATGCCCTTCCAGCTTCAACCCAGTACTGGGAAACATCCATACACACTCATACACTGCAGCCAATTAAGTTTATACAATTCACCTAAATGCAGTTATATCCAAATATATTTAGGTGTGTTGTTGGACAGGAAACGTAAGTGGGATGTATGGACTGAGTCTATAAGGAAAAGGCAACAGAGAATGTACTTCTTAAAGAAACGATTGTCTTTTATTGTTGACAACACATCGTTGATCATATTTTCTAGTGTTTTTATTGAAATTATTGCAACATTTTGTGTGATCTATTGGTATGGAAATGCTTCTGAGGCCCAGAAGAGGTCACTGGGAAAGGTGGTAACAACAGCCAGTAAGTTCTTGGGTATAAAACAAAAGGGCATTAATAGTATATAAAAAGAAAGTGTATTACATAAGGCTATCATAATTGTCTATGATGAGAGACATCCTTTATCAAACACCTATCAATTGTTACTATCAGTCCGTCGATATTGTGTTCACAGATGTGTGAGAAATAGGACAAAATGGTCATTTATAGGGAGCGCGGGGCACAAAGTAATCCAGGGTATACGTAACATGGAGTTGTAAGGTATTTGCTCAGGGTTAATCATGGCTTGCTTCCAAGATTTTCACCACAGTGTCGGCAGATGTCTTCCTGCCAATTATTGAAAAAGTTGGGCGACATTTGGATGAGAAACCCAGGAGAAACCATTTTTGCAGCATAAAAGTATTTTTATTATAGTTGATTTTTATTTATTTTTTAAACAATCTGTGAAGGTATGAACCTAAAATCTTAAATTGTTGTGATTACCGTCTTCTAGGCTAAAAGATGAAACCATTTTGAAAGATGCAAAAAATATCTTCATAACTTATTTTTTTACATATATATATATAAATAAAATTCTGCATTTTAGTGTCATTTTAAGCTATATTTATTTCTGGATTAGATTGTGAGGGTCATCACAAGCACACATTTTGATGTAACAAAAACATTTCCTAAAGATTTAGAATAAAGGAACACACACACACACACACTCACACACACACACAACACACACACACACACACACACACACACACACACACACACACACATATATATATATATATATATATATATATATATATATATATATACTTATTATTTTTATCATATATCATTAGGAAAAAAAGGAATCTGCTAAAGTTCTACATTTTAAAAATTCCTATTACAGCTATAGCCTTATTAAGCAAATTACAAACTAGCTACCACATTATTCAACTTTCCTCTGACAGACTTTGGCCACTTGAGTAACTCATTCATTCAATCATTCATTCATTTTCTTTTCAGCATAGTCCCTTTTATTAATCGCCACAGCAGAATGAACCGCCAACTTATCCAGTACGTTGAATCTCACATCTCTGGGAAACATCCACACATTCATTCACACACACACTATGGACAATTTAGCCTGCCCAATTCACCTGTACCGCATGCTTTTGGACTCTGGGGGAAACCGGAGCACCCGGAGGAAACCCACTCGAACGCAGGGAGAACATGCAAACTCTATACAGAATTGCCAACTGACCAAGCCGAGGCTCGAACCAGCAACCCAGCGACCTTCTTGCTGTGAGGCGACAGCACTAACTACTGTGCCACCATTACTTATATAATAAAAAATAATAGTAATAATAATAATAATAATGTAGAGCTTGCCAATTGCTCTAGCCTTTCTTGTAAAAAATACATTTGAAAATTCACTACAATAGCCTAATTAGTATTAAAATTAATATGCTTAAAATGACCTTTTATGCTTTACACTTTTTTTGGTCCTATTTTCTGTAAAGAATAAGGTTTAAAATTTAAAATAAAAGTTACTTGTTAAATGTTTTCTCTATTTAACAACAAAACAGGTCAGTAGTGAAAGACGACGTCACTTACGTCAGATTCTTTTCTGTCTTAAAGCTTTCTTCGATTAGCTATTTTCACAAATTATGATGGCATAGCAGTTAAAATAGGACAAATGAGCTCATGGGACAAATTCTGGCCCTTTGTCTGTTGGGGGTGGGTCTTTCGAACCACCAGAACCCCCCGTGGCTATGGGCCTGTATACCCATCTTTTGAATCGCTGGGTTTTACCCATTTAGTAAGAAGTTTTTAATCAATTTACTTATTCTTTTTTGTATATGTCACATATATCGTTTTCTTTAAACATATATAAACATATTTGATTTATTTCCTAAAATAATTTGAAATATGAAAGCAGACATTTTACTTACATTATTATGCTGTCTTTGTATATAAACTCAGTTTTTATTATTATAATTTGAAGCAGACACCAAATTGGGATGAATTTAGACTAATGTTTTTGCTCAGAAACTTTAAGACAACTGATGGATGGTCTATTAAAATTCAAAGTAAGAGTAACATTGAGCACTTCTGCATTTTTGTTGGCATGGAAGTGAGAATGATTTAGATGAGTGAATATTTTTCAACAACTCAGTGATCTCGAATCCTTCTCTTGTATTAAAAAACACTCATTTGGCTAAGTTTTACACTGTCTGGGTCAGAGAATGAACAGTTTTGCAATCTTTATACTTCCGTTTGAGCCTTCAGTAGTGCAGACAGACTCCCTCCTGTGCTGAATTGAATTGCATATGCAGGAGAAGAGTTTCTGCCATCAATAATAAGCCCTTGAAGAAATGTCTTCATGTGAAATGGAACCACTCCAGCAAACTTCACACACTCAAGCATTTTCACAAGTAGGTTTTACATTTTCTGATAGAAAGAGGCGGAAAAAATAAGAATGTGCGTGCCTTTGAAAACTTGCTGCCACAATGGAAGAGTTTCGTAGGTGGTTCCCTGATATTTACATTTCTAAGGTACATCCAGCGGACAGATATGACTCATACTTAAAGTGTGTCTGCTTGTTGACATTTATCAAACCTAGATTTAACATTTATGTTAATATTTATGCTTAATCCAAATTTTAACTTGTAAACATGAAAATTTCAAGAGTCACATCTATGTCTTAAAGCAGGGGTTTTCAAACTTTTTTGTCTGAGACCCTCAAAATAACAATTTCAGTGACTCGCAACCCCTACTTTTCAAGGTGGTTATATTTACATTTACATTTAGTCATTTAGCAGATGCTTTTATCCAAAGCGACTAACAAATGAGGACAAGGAAGCAACTTACACAACTATAAGAGCAACAATGAATAAGTGCTGTAGGCAAGTTTCAGATGTGTGAAGTGTAAGAAGCAAAACATTAGTTTTTTTTTTTTTTTTTTGTAATACAGTTAGCGGTGGAGCCAGAGAGGGAATTGCAGATTAGGAAGTGAAGTGGAGACTAAATAGTTGAGTTTTAAGTCGTTTCTTTAAGACAGCGAGTGACTGCCGTTCTGATGCTGTTAGGGAGTTCATTCCACCAACTGGGCAGATTGAACACGAGAGTTCGGGAAAGTGATTTCTTCCCTCTTTGGGATGGAACTAGGCGACGTTCATTCACAGAACGCAAGTTTCTAGAGGGCACTTAAATCTGCAGAAGTGAGTGCAGATAAGAGGGAGCAAAGCCAGAAGTCGCTTTGTAAGCAAACATCAAAGCTTTGAATTTGATGCGAACAGCAACTGGCAGCCAGTGCAAACGGATGAGTAGAGGAGTGACATGTGCTCTTTTATGTTCATTCGTGCTGCTGCGTTCTGAAGCAGCTAAAGAGGCTTGATAGAGTTAGCTGGAAGCCCGGCTAGTAGAGAGTTGCAATAGTCCAGGCAGACACAACTATAGGCATAAACATGAGCATATTGACAACACAAAAATGCAACAGCCTATTAACCATATAATGTTTTTTTTGTTTGTCATTTATTAATTTAATTACATTTTAATATTAAAATTAAAGGCTGCTGGTTGATTTTTATTTGTATGTTTTTGCCTTCTTCATCTCGGGGAGGGGGGGGGGGGGTTATTATTTACATTTGTATAATGTTATAATTATTTAGCAATGTTATTTATTTTATGCCTATTTATATTTGTTTAAATAAAAACAAGTTTAGATTTGTCCACCTGTCGGGTTTTGTGCCATACGGGACATAAGAACAGGACGTGTGTTTGGATATAACTCATTTTTTTACCACACCGCATTATTGTTGTTAATTTATAGTTTGCTGGAAATAAGAACCCAAATGTAGAAATAGTTTTGAAACAAATATCCGCGCT